AAACTTTTGGTTTTTTTGTTTTCATTTATTGAAAAAAAACAAAATTAAATTATAACAAAACAACGACAATAATAGAAAAATGAAAATTTTTTTATCTTTTCATTTTTCTATTACCTTGAAATTCCTACTTGAGTTTCACCCAGCTACTAAGATTTCTATTTTCGATTCTAATCATTGATCTAATCAAATACACATTGTGTACATTCCATTCTTCTGTAATGAAATCTATATTTCTTGATCATACATCGATATATGCATGTATGAAATATTTGGTAATCGGAATTTTGTTTGCGAACCCATCAATTGGAACTATTTTTAATCATCACCATCATTGGTTAATTCTACTGATGTTGGCCAAAAATGTAGCCCTAGAAACAGCTATTCTTTTTATTAGTGAGAAACAAATTATTCAAACTCCACATCAGCAATAAGAATCGCATTTTATTCTGAATCTGGCCATTGAAGAACGACAAAGAAAGGAAAATTAGATTATAGTTTTGATAAGAAAAATGAACTGTTTCTTTGTAGGTTGAAAGATAATAAAACAGTATATGTTATTTCGAACAAGAGGATTATTCAAACACAGAATTGACGAACTGCTGGCCAACGAACTAGAAATTCATGTACGGGAAGTAAGGTGACCACAGTGCTAGTGTATTGATGCGGGATGGTTTGGTCACAAGATACTTCAAAAGGCCTTACAAAGGGTTTACAGAGAAAACCAAGCGTATATCCAGGGTCAGGTGTTGAAGAGGACCATGATGAATAGCTCCCAGGAATAAAATGTGATATACAAAAACTGGAATGTGTATTGGACCAAAACTCCAAAACATTACCATCAAACAACCAAAGTTGATTGAGGATTATTTGAGTAATATGGGATATGTTGTTTAGTAAAATATTTCTAATTACCATTTATCAATAAAATCGAGAAAGTAGTATTTTTGCTATTCACTAATTCAATCGGATTTAACCAGTCATTCACCAATTCATACATTTTATTGTATTGTAGCCAGACCCAAGAGAAAAAAATTTCTTGAATATAAAGGTCAATTTCAAAATTTATTTATCATTGGACTCATTTTCAAAATTAAAAATCTTGGTCGACCAAGACACTTTTAGCCTCGATGATGAATTATTAAATACAGGAATCATTTCATCATCAAGATATAAGATCACAAAAACAATGGACATGCCATGTTTGTAAAAATCACCGTATCAATGGATCTTGTACAATAAAAGTTTCTGCTTAAATGATTTTAAATAATATCATAGTAAATTATAAAAAAATGGTACTACAAATTGATGTATTTTTAATTTGTAAAATGATTTGGAAGAGAAAAACCGAATATATCAATTGTATTTGATAAAATAACAATAATATCCAATATATGCACTTTTTGTTGTCTAGGTGCCCATCATCCCATATATAGGATGGAAGTTCAAAGTTCAATTCTCTCGAAATATAAAATTTTAAAAATAAATAAATGTCATATTTATTCACTTGTAGCCATCAAATTTTAATAATTGATAACTTTTTTTCAAAAAAAATTTGGGCATTATTAATGGGTTAATCAATAGCATTTATTGAAATGGCAAAACACATAATACAATTATCAAAGGGAAAATTTCAATTTATATAGATTTAAAATAACATACTAGAAGTTTCTAGTGACCTCTAGTTTACAATCATCATAGTTCATTATACAGTATATGTTTGTATTTAATTTTTTTTTCAGTAGGGCAAACGGAAGAAAAACATGCATGGGAAAAAAATATGCCAAGAACAAAGTTTGTAAAACGTGATAAAAGAAATTTTTTTTTGTTTGAATTGAATTAAACAGAACTTTATCTGTGCTCAAGTGTGTAGAACTGGGGAATTTTTTTTTTTTTTTGTAGAAAAGTCCGAGAAAAAGAAATTCTGTTTCCATTTCTTGAGTAAAAAAAAAATGCTTCATTTTTTATCGAGAAAAAAAACAGAATGTTATGTTACAAGTTTTAAAAAAAAAATTTCACTCTGATAAAAAAAATGCATATTTATCATTGATTTATAATCGATCGTGAATATCTATATATTTATGAAATTGTATTGTTTTTCAATGATGGTAAAAAAAGCAAACATTTTGTTTTGTTTGTTTGTTTTTTTAAACGTGAGACATTGACTTTTATTTTTTCATGAACAAACGAGAGAGAAAAAAAAATTGCATAATTTACGCCATCTACTACGATTCTGAGTCGAATCTAAACAAAACAAAACAACAACAACAACAACAACAACAACAGAGATCAACATAGATTCAAGGATTTTGACAAAATTATTTTTTTTCATTTTTTTTTTTTAAATTTTCTTTTTCACTCAAATTGACATCCGATTTAAATTTTGTTTTTTTTCATTTTTTTTTTGTGAATTATAAAATCACAAACATACGATCGATTCACACACACATGCATTTAGGTCAATATTTTTTTATTTTCTTTTCTTATCACCAATATCATGCGACATTTAAAAAAAAAATTTGGTACATGGAAAAAAAAAAAAACTGTCACGTTTTTTTTTTTTTTTTTTTTCAAAAAAAAAAAATAACTGTGATGATCGATTTATGGCAGTTTACTATGTGTGTGTGTGTAGAAAAATCAATCGAATCATTTTCATCATCATCATCATTATTTGATGAATCGATTGATGGATTGACATTGAATATGAAGAAGAGGGAAACAAAAATTTTTTTTTCACTACTGAAAACACAGCAACAACAACAGCAACAGCAATAGCAAACATCCTGTTGTATGTTACACCACATTTTGACTTGTCATTGATATCAATCATTTGTTTGTTTGTCTGTTCGTTTATTTTTTCATCAATGAATTTTTTTTTTCGATTTAAAAATTTTCATTTCAATAGAATTTTGATTTCATCTTGTCATTTTTTTTTCTTTTCTTTGAATCGTGATCACCGATGATGATGATGATGATGATGATTTGTATTTGTAAAAAATTTTCTTTTTTTTTAATTGTAAAAATTTTTTTTCTGTTTATGTTTGCAAAATCACATTATCACATTATTATTATTGTATGTTTCGGTTGTTTACATGAAATTGCCGCTTTTATGCATCATCAATAATGTGTGTGTGTGTGTGTGTTTGTTCGCCCAACAATGAAACGAATCTCAAAGTTGTTGTTGTTGTTTATTTTTCATATAAATTCGACAACAACAACAACAACGACGACGACGATAACAATAATGCAATGGCCTCCATCAATGACTATCATTCTATTTTCAAGTTCAAAAAACAATCATAAATAATGAAAAAAAATATATCTATCCTCGAATGAATGAATGAATGAATTTTTTTACTATTTTTTTCCCCATTCATTAATGTAATTCAGATTAATTATCAGAGAAAAAAACCGATCATCACGATTTTTTTTTATTATATATATAAAAAATCAAATAAAAATCAATAATTGAAAATTCGGTAATTCAGATAATTCAGATGAGGATGGTGAGATTTTTTTTTTTTTTTACCTTTTGATTATTGTGTTAAGAGATGGGAAAAGGCAAATGAAAAAAATTCCTATGAAATTTTCATCATCAAAAAAAGTCAAAGGTTGATCAAAATCGAGAAATTACTCGAAATCAAAAAAAAAATCTATTATTCAAATATATATATACGAGACGAGAAACGAGAAATACACGCATATGAGAATGATCACATTATATATAAATAATTTTAGCTCGATTGCGCATACTCATTCCAGAATCAATGATGATGATGATAAATATTTTGAAAAGATTGTTGCCCAGATTCAGTTGTGATCAGACCGGCCAACTGATAATATCGAAAAAAAATGTTTGTCTATATGTGTGTTTGTGTGTGTGTGTGTGTGTGTGTGTGTACGTGAACATTGAAAATTTTCATTCATTCTCCACATGAGAAAAAATCAGATCAAAATCAAAGATCAATTGATTCAATCGATTGAATTATCATCAATTAAAATGACAAAATTTGATAAATTGTTTCTCATTTTCTTTGTTTTTGTTTTTGTCAAAAAAAATCAAACAGAATACTGTGGAAACAAAACAAAAAAAATTTCTCATCAATTTATTCATTGATTATCGATTGATTTACAAAACATTATTATGTTCTGTTTTTCATTGATTGATTGATTAATTGATAAAAAAAACAAAACAAAACAAAAAAAAAATTTCCATAACCATTACCACTAATTTACTATGGATGATGATGAAATGTGATAATCAAAACTGTAAACAAAACTAAACAACAACAACAACAACAACAACAACAACAACAACAACAACAACAACTACTACTACGACCTAACTGAAACTGAACTTTTTTTGCAGGCAAGTTTTCCATTATTATATTATCATTATTATAATATCGGTAAAAGGAAAAATTTTTTGAAAGAGAAAAATGAATGTCAAAAAAAAAAAAAAGTCTTCACTTTCTATTCTCAATCTTCGATTATCTTTATTATTTTATATATATGATTAATGTAATAATTCTTTACTTTTTTTTTGTTTGCAAACAAACAAATAAAACATTCATCATCATTATCATCATCATCATCATCATCATTGTCGTGATGAATGAAACGAAAAAAAAAATTTGTAGGCAAAAGACATGAAAGAGAACCAAAGCAAAAAAACCAAGCCAATGAACTTCGAAGGACTAATTATTTATTTTTTTTTTTTTCTATTTCTAATTTTCTTTTTTTTCTTTTGATTTTTTTGATTTTCATGATTCAGAATTCATTCAACTTGAATTTTTTGTTGTTGTTGTTGTTGTGGCTGCTGTCACTCATTGTGGTTTTTTTACTTTGTGGCAATTTTTCTTCATTTCGATCATTAAATCTGGAAAATGTTTTCTTACCGGTTTTTTGTTTATTACTGATGTTCCACATCGTTCAACTGCAAAAAATCAAAGATTGTAGCATGAAATTCCTGGTGATAATTTTGTTTCTGAACCATCTACTAGTTTGGTTGCTGAAAAGAATGATGATGATCAAGATGAAGATGCTTCTGGTGATGGTGATGATGATGTACCGAGACGGGGGAGACCATTGGGGTCTCAAAATAAAACATATGAAGTTAATCAAGAACGATTGAATTCTTTACGACCTCGAAATGTAATTGGTGTCGTTGCAGCTGGTACTGAGCCACTAACGTTTGATGATGCTGTAGATTCAGAGGAATCTATGAAGTGGTTTCAAGCTATGACCAGTGAGATGAATTCATTGATTGAAAATAAAACATTCACATTAGTTGATCCACCGAATAACAATCCTGTTATTACATCAAAATGGATATATCGTATCAAAAGCGATGGGCGTTACAAAGCGCGTTTAGTCGCTCGTGGTTTTCAACAACAACATAATGTTGATTATTTTGATACATATGCACCGGTTAAATGTAGATTTTTTTGTTTACTGCATGCATTTGGCCTGGAAAAAATATCAAACTATGAAAGATTGATTAATTTTTTCTCCTATTTGTTATCAAAATTGATTATTTTTTTTTTTTCGCCAATCAATAATGAGATCAAATGGATCGAAATCGAATTTGAGAAAAATTTATCACATCAGAATCTGGAATAAAATTTCCATTCAACAACAACTACTACTACTACGACCTAACTGAAACTGAACTTTTTTTGCAGGCAAGTTTTCCATTATTATTATCATCATTTTTACCATTATTATTATATTGTCGGTAAAAGGAAAAATTTTCAAAAGAGAAAAATGTATGTCAAAAAAAAAATAAAGTCTCCACTTTCTATTCTCAATCTTCGATGATCTTTATATATATGATTAATGTAATTCTTTTTTTTTTTTTTTTTGCCAACAAACAAACAAAACATTCATCATCATTATTATCATCATCATCATCATCATTGTCGTGATGAATGAAACGAAAAAAAAAAATTTGTAGGCAAAAGACATGAAAGACAACCAAAGCAAAAAAAAATCCAAGCCAATGAACTTCGAAGGACTAATTATTATTTATTTTTTTTTCTTTTTCAATTTTCTTTTTTCTTTTTTTTTCGTGATTCAGAATTCATTTTTTTGATTTTCATGATTCAGAATTCATTCAACTTGAATTTTTGTTGTTGTTGTTGTTGTTGTTGCTGTCACTCATTGTGGTTTTTTTACTTTGTGGCAATTTTTCTTCATTAAATAAATAAATATATTCTGGTTTTTTTTTGCTATTTTTTGTTTACTGCATGCATAGGTTGGCCAAAAAATATCAATATGAAAGATTGATTAATTTTTTCTCCTATTTGTTGGCAATCAAAATTGATTATTTTTTCGCCAATCAATAATGAGATTAAATGGATCGAAATCTCGGCGAGAAAAATTTATCACATCCAGAATCTGGTATAAAAATTTCCATTTCAAGTGTTTTTTTTTTCAAGAAAATGAGTAAAAAAAAAAAATCAACTTTTCTTTCGTTTTTGTTTGTTTGATTTTGTGTGTGTGTGTGTGTGTTTCACTTTTTTTTGTTTTGTTTTGTTTTCACTGAATCAAATTTCAATATCATTAAATTTACGTTGCACAATGTCAATGTAATAGTTCAGTGATGTTTGAATATGAAACAAATGGTGGGTGAGAAAAAAAAACAAAACAAAACGAAAATTCTTTCAAGTTATCATCAAGTTTTAAAGAAAATTAAGAAAAATGAGTTTGAAACATGAGTAACGAAAAAAAAACGGTCTTCGACCTTAGTCTGGTTTGATCGTATACGATACCTTCTTTTGATGAATGCGTGACTTTTTTTCTTTCTTTTTTCTTTTTTTTGTTAAAAAACGGCTTTAAACGGTTTTTTTTCATTTTAAAATTTTTTTTTCTCTCCTTTCTCGGATTTTGTCCGTCTGTTTTATCAATATTTGAATCGTGGAAAAAATTCTTTTTGTAGATTCTTGAACTTTTGATAAGAAAAAAAAATCATGTACGTGCTTGAAATTTTTAACAACAACGACGACAACGACGACAAAAGTTAATGGAATTATTCTGTGCGTTTTTTTTGTGTTGTTTTGTTTTCCTGATATTCCAGAAACAATCCCGCCGCTGTTTTATTTAGCAATTCAATTTCCGTTTTTTTTTGTTTGATGAAAAAAAAGTATCAAATATCGAATATCGTTTATGATGAAAAAAAAATTGATTAAAATTTCCGTTTTCATTTTAAATTTTTTTTTTCATTTAATTAGCAATAGCCAAAAAAGGTCACATTTTTTTTTTGCTATCATGAAAAGAATATTTCGGTGAAAATAAATTATCATCATCATTATTATCGTCATTAAACATGGTTATTATACAATGTAAATAATTTTTAGAGTGATTGTCATTAACATTGTACTCGAACAAAAAAAAAAATGAAAAGAAATTAGTCCATTTGATATTGTGTGTGTATGTGTGTGTGTGATTGGTGGATGATGACAATAAAATATTTTAACGATAATGGTCTACATCAGTAGCGGTATTTCCAATGAATTTTTGACTGTATAAAGAGATGCAGCAAGTTCATCACACAGTAATAATAATGATGATGATGATGATGATGATGAGAAATCCATTATATCATTTTATCTTACAATGAAAAGAGAAAAAAAGTAGACTAAATCATGATCAAAATTGTGACAAACAAACAGAATGAAAAAAAAATGTTGCTGTCATTTAGTGCAAATTTTTTTTTTGGTTTCGTTTTGTTTTGTTTTGTTCGCTTGTTTTTGTGTGATTTTTTTTGTGCAAATAATTCGTAGAAATCTATACACACACGCATCTCTATTCATTCGAGTTGATTATTCAGATGAATAGAAAAAAAATGACGTACAAAATAAATTTTTATTTTTTTGTTTTTTGTTCGCCAGAATATCAACAAACCATTAATGTTGATGATGATGATGATGAAAAAATTCTTGATTCTTATCTTTTGACCACATTCAATCAATTCTGACCATAATGATGTGATGAATAATTGTTTTTTTTTCATTTTCTCTTTTTTTCCCAATAGAATAAAATGTTATTTTTGTAACAATCATTGTCATCATGTCAATATTTGATAATAATAATCATAGTTTGATTCTATATCCATCATCATCAAATCAATCAATATTTGATTGGCAATCATCATCATCATCATTATCACCATCATCACTATCATCATCATCGAAATTATTTAAAGATTTTATCATCAATGAAAATCAAACATTTACAGAATCATCAATATTGATGGATATTGATTGTTCATTAACAGATTCACCATCATCATCATCATTACCATCAACAACAACTATATTATCAACAACATTTTCTAGTTGTAATTTACGTTATTCATTATCATGGACAATCATTTTGATTATTGCTTATTTGATTGTATTTTTATTCGGATTATTTGGCAATATTTCTGTATTATGGATTGTTTATATGTTAAAACGAGAGAATAAATGTAGACAATCTGGTGTTGCTATTACAACGGCAGCATTGAATAGTCATAATAATAATAATTATACATTCAATTGTGGTAGTGGATGCGGTGGGGTGGTGGTGGGTGTGGTGAAAAAGGAAATTCCGTCTTCACAAATGAAAATAATAATAACAATAATCCACAAAGTCCACACAGTATACATCGATTTATAACGAATAATAATAATCGTCTAAATAATAATAGTTTATCACCGAATCCAAGTATTAATCATCATCATCATCATCATCATAATCAGAATTTTATAAGCAATAATAATGTTGGTTTCGGCGGTAGTAGTGGTTCAACAACAACAACAACAACAACATCAACACCACAATATCATCATACAGTTTATTATACAACATCGGTACCATTGATTACAATCAATCGTTCGAATCAAGTTTTTTATCGTTTTGTTTGCAATCTTGCATTAGCCGATCTATTGGTTGTATTATTCTGTTTGATACCGACATTAATTGGTAACATCTATTTACGTAAGTTGTTTTTAATTTGAATTTTTTTTGTTTGTTTGTTTGTTTTAGGTTTTTAGGTCAGCAGGTTTTTCAATGGTTTTATTGATGATTTCTAGTGAATAATAATAAAAATAAAAAAAAACAAAGAATTTAACAACAACAACAATTTTATGTTGAAAACAGAATCTTTTTAATTGTTTGTTTTTTTTTTTTTTTTTACAAACTAATAACCAAACACACCCATTGATCATTCATTTATTAATTGTCCGGAAATGTAATCAATATCTTGTCATTTGATGATTATTATTTAATTGTCATGGTGGCCTTATTCTGTTCTGTTCTGTTCTGTTTTTTTTTTGGACCTACTGACCTAGAAAAAGAGTTTTTTTTCCATTGACAAATGAATGATAAATGAGAATTTAATGATAATGATTGGTGGTGATTAAGTTGATATATTTTCTTTCCAGTTAATTAATCACGATTATGTAATTGTGTGTTTTATTCATTTTCTATTTTTTTTTCTCTTTCTCTTTTTTTCCCATTTATTTAGCCTGGGTACTAGGACGATCAGTATGTAAAGCTGTACCATATTTACAAGGTGTATCAGTGAATGCTTCGGTCTATACATTGGTTGCAATTTCAATTGATCGGTAAGTTGATTTTTTTTTGTTTTGTTTCGTCACTGTTTCTGAATACAATGCAAGGTTCATACTTTGTTGTGACCTAAATATTTTCCTTTTTTTTACCCTCTCCCCCTCATTCTGTATGGTTATTGCCAATGTTTTTGTCAATTTCCAAACAATTACACATGTTCATATGTACACTTTAATCGAATATATTTCATGAAAACGTGTATTACACACGAATAAGATGAAAAAAAAGGTTAATAAGCAAGATGAAATAATGGAATTTACGTGATTTGGATCAAATAAATGATGATGATGATGATGATGATCGTGAAAGGATTAAAAACATTTTTTTTTCTTCACGTTGAACATACAGAGAAATCTATGCGCAATTTATAATATTGATTCATCCGTAAATAAATAACAACATGGAAAAAAAAGAAACATCCAAGTTAATAGTAAAAAAAAAGTGATGACAACATTAAAAAAAAAAATCCGGTTTCATTTCCTTAACAAACAGTTAACAGTGATGTATGGCTAGTGTATACGATGGAAATAGTGGGGGAAAAAAAATGTAAAAGAAAGTGATTCCAACGATGATGATGGATAAACCATTCATCCGTTTTAGAGAGTAGAGAGAGAGAGAGAAAAACACATTTCCAGCAGTTTTATTTCATTTTTTTCGCAATGATTTCTCATTCCCAATGAATGGCATTGCATATATGGTCGGAAAGAAATGTTTGAAAATTTACGTTTCTTTTTTTTAAAGTCTTTTCTCTCTCTCTCTCTCTCTCTCATAGATGAAACCAAATGTAAACATGATTTTTCATGGAAAAAACATGAACAAAACTGTCAGAGAAATAGCCGATTTTTTTTTGTCTGTTTTATGTTCTTGGTGTTTTTTTTGGTAAAAAAAATTCTAGAAGTGAAAAAAAAGACAGAAGCCATGATTCTGGTGATGATGATGAGAAAAAAAATTTTAAATTTTTTTTTTTGAACACAAAAAATAACTTATTAAACTCGTCAAACGCATAGTGAGAGACAGTGAAAATTGAATTAAAAATAATCATCAACCAACGAATGAGACCACCCACTCATTTATTGAACAAACCCCATGATACCAGAAAAAAAATCGTTGTTCCGTTCAATATTATTCATCACATTATTCAATAGTAGTAGTGGTGGTGGTGGTGGTGGTGGTGTTGATGGTGGTGGCTCAAACATCATCAAAACAACACACACACACACACATATCATTGATATAATTATCTTTGATTCTGAATTCTGAATTCTGAATTCTGAATAAGAATAATAATAATGGAAAACATTCATCATTTTTTTTCCTGTTTATTTATCTGTACCATGGAATCGTCTTACATTCTGTGGAGTAAAAAAAAATGAATAAATGAATGAATGAACAATGTTACGATTCTAGATTCTGGACATTATTGATTTATTGAAATTGTTGTAATAATATATCTATTGTGCGGTAATATCAATTTTCATCATACACGTTTGTATTACATGAATTCTGGAAAAAAAAAAAAAAAAAGTTTCGTTTTATTCTTGGCCATCCAATATTTACTTGACACAATGGACACAGAACCGAGTTTGAAAATTCAGTACATGGGATGTATGAATGTGAAAAAAATGTAATTATCATCATCATCATCATCATCGAACCAAATTGCATTTTTTTTTTATAAATTATGCCAAAAAAAAAATAACAACAACAAAAAAAATACGAAAATTCTCTGGATCTGGTTTCTGTGACCAGAAAAACTTTTACATCATCATCATCATCATCGTCATCGTCATCTGACATGAAAAAAATTGCATTTTGTTCATCACTTATTGGTCGACCAAATGAATGTTGAATCAGCGAAAAAAAAAACAAAACAATACAGAAAAAAAAGGTCAAAAACCTACATCTGTCAAGAAATTTGTCCTTCAAATTGTCAGAAAAAAAAGATGATGATGAAAAAAAATCATACAGAATCTCAGACGAAAAAAAAAAATATGCCATAATTCCATAGAAAAGAAAATTTATTCATTTCTTTCAACAATCAACAAAATGCACTGGTATAAAAATCATAACTAACTAGACAAAATGAGAGGAAAAATTCCTGAAAAATCTGAATTTCATTTAACTTGTCAAAAAAAAAATTTTGTTAGGAAAATTGAAAATTGATTAAAAATTCTGATGATTCCATTTGCCATATTTCTATTTCTATTTCAATTTGAAAATCATCAACCAGACCCACCGACCGACCGACCAACCAAATAATGGCAAATCGAACATAACATTACTTTTCATTCACACAGATATTAAAAATGGTCACCATACTGGAATTTCTGTTTACTTTTTTTTCTTGTTTGTTTGTTTGGCCATCTATTTTTTAATGATAATGATGATGGTGTTTTTTACATGGCAATTTTCATTGGTTTTTTTTCATTTGATTGTAAAAAAAAAATTTCCATTTTGTTGACTAACAAATTTTGTTTTCTTTCTCTTTCATCTTTCAATTTTTGTGGTTTTTTTTTGTGGTATCATCGTTTTTGTTGCCTTTGGAACAACAACAACAACAAAAAAAAATTTCAGATTCTATGCAATTTATTATCCATTGAGTAAAAAATGTTCTACCCGTATGTGTTGGACAACCATTATATTGATTTGGCTATTTAGTATGATTATATCATTTCCATGGCTTGTTTATTTCGATGTTTTCAATATTGATGTTGGTAATGATTTTCCAACTACTACTACTACTACTACTACCACAACTACTGCTACTACTGCTAATAGCACGATTGCCGCTGCTGCCGCATATATATCAATTGCAGCATCAAATTTATCAACAATAAAAACAAACGTAACCGCAACAGCGGCAACGACAACAGCAACAACAACAACAACAACAACAACAACAACATTATTATCAGATTCAGCCATTGATATAATGATTTCAACATTTGATACATCTGGATCTGAATTTTTAAATCATCATCAACATCAACATCAACATCAACATCATCATCATCAACATCAGCATCCACATTATCATCATCAACACCAGAACCATCACCAACAACAACAACAACAACAACATCATTATCATCATAATCAAAATCATTATCAACAACAACAACAAAATCATCATCATAATGGTCAGGCTAAAACTTTCTCACCAACAACACCACCACCACCACCAACACCACCACCATCACCACCGTCATTTATACAGCCATTACAGCAGCAATCAACTACAACGATTCAGGCAAGTGTCAATAAATTCATTCTATTTTTGTTTCATTTTTTTTTTTTTTTCATAATGATGATGGTTATTTTATTTTTATTTTTATTTGAAATCTAAATTGATATAAACGATATATGTATTCATGGATTCAATGAAAAAAGAAAGAATATATGGTCTTTTATTCCAGAAAAAAAAGATGAAATGAATCTAAATACCTAAATTCTACCTTGTAACTAAATAGAATGATAATGGATAAATGAAAAAAAACGAGGTCTATGAACTTGAATATGTTGACAATTTTTTTTTATTTTCTTCATTTCTTGAAATTTTGCCATTTTTATCCACTGATTCTTATCCATCGTGTTGATCGATATGACTCACAATCGATTGATTGATTGATTGTTTGATCGATCCACCGATCTATACCGATATATGTGCCAAGTAAATTGAATTTTTTTTTTTTTTTTTGCAAACATGGACAGATTTGACTTTTGTTTCTGTTTTATTCATACCGATGATGATGAGTTTCGAATTTGGAAAAAAAAAAAAATTTAATCATCACCACCATCATTTAATGAGCACAAAATTCTAGATTTTCATGAATAAAAATAGAATCAATAAATAGTGGGTGAAAAAAAAGTTGGAATCAAAAAGTCATTGAACGGAGAAAAAATTGACGACTAAAAATAAAACCATTGTCCATGATTGAAATAAACTTTGTATCAAAATCATTTGGGATTACGAAAAGATTTGCATTTTATCATAAAGTTCTTTTCCAACTAACTGACCAATCAATTGAATTTGAAACTCAGCTGCAGAATCAACAGAATTTATTTGGTCATTTAGTTATAGACTGTGGCAATTTAGTCCACTGTCTATAATCACTCGTTTGGAATAATTAATTTCAATGAATGTTTCGAAATTGATTGAGCAAATGATCGGAAATAATTTCTTATGATTAACTCATTCAATGATTTTAGCAATCAAGCGATAGAGAGAGAGAGAATGATTTAGTGGCTAAACTTTTGATTGATCATTGAATGATGATTCTGATCTGATCTCAATTCTTTTTTTTTCGTTTTCGTTCTGTTTCAACTTGAATTCGTATTACTGGAACAAATACAAAATTCTTGAGAATCTGGCAAGCAACAACAAAAAGAAATAAAAAACCCTTAATGGACATTATTGAAATTTGATTTTTTTTTCTTTTGATACTCATATATATCACAACCTCAAAAATGTTTTCACCAGTACAAATGCTAATCACGATGACAACAACAACAACAACAAACAAACAAAGCATCTAAAACGTTTTTTGACCCATGTTATCTATGTTTGTTTGTTTATTTGTTTATTTGTTTATTCATCGATGAAATTGGATCCTAGAAACAAGAGCAGCTCATTTGCTTATTCATTACGTGCTGAAAATCTCAAATTTCAATAATGAAAATTTTTTTGCATTCATTTTTTCTTCACAATGTAAATATGACTTGATCATAAACAACAGACAACAACAACAACATACCTCTATCTACCTCTACAACAACAACAAGCAGCAGCAGCAGCAGCAGAAAAAACATTTAGTAATTAATTTATTTACATAATATAAATATATAACAGGCAATGAAAGACGTTTTTTGAAATTGAAATGGATGAAACAAGAAATTGATGAAAATCTCCACTTGATTAAACAACAGATGACCAATGGAATTTATTTACATAATATAAATTATATAAAAACAGGCAATGAAAGAAAAATTGAAATTGAAATTGAAAATGATGACCAATTGGATGACCAATGGAATTTTTTTCTACTTATAAATTCAATTAGTCTCTACTTGACTACAGACAATCATTTTTTGTGATCGTTTCTTCATCTCTGTTTTTTTTTTATCTGGATCTTGTTGAAATTTGTCTACAGTAAATAATGACAATGAACTCTTGCCATTTTTATCTCTTTTACAATGTTACATCGATGTTGGAAAAAGTTTTCGTGTGTTTTTTTTGTTCACTTAACCAATGCAAAAAAAAAAAATGATGATAGAAAACCAAGAAAAAAAAAATACAAACTGCACCTAACAACAAGAAACCAATATATATATATATTGGCAATATGAAAAAAAGGAAAAGAATTGAACTGAATGAATCCGATTTTATTTTATTTTTTTTTTTTTTTTGGATTCGGATGACGAAGTTTCTTGCTTTTTCTATCTCTTTATCACTCGTTTGAATTCCATGGAAAAAAAATCCTAGATAGAATAATAAACTGAATCTTTCATCGTCATCATCATCATCACCGCTATCATCATCGCACAAAAAAAATGTTTTCTCCCCATTTACCATGTAGTCTATATGTGTTTTTTTTTTATTTTCATTGGAAAAAAATTTTCATTCAATTTCGGGTTTTTTTTTATTTGTGTGTGCGTGTGAACAATAAACACCAAAGACAACAAAAGCGAAAAAAATGATGATGATGATGAAAATCTTATGAAAATAAACTTATTCATGCGTTCAATCATCATCATCATCATGCCGATAATCAAAACAAGAAAATGAAAATTTTGCAAAGAATTTTTTTTACCCATTCATTGCTGTTTCAAAAAAAAAAAAAAAAAAAATTGGATTCTGATGGTGAGAAAAAAAATGTTTCTTTCAAAACGGAAATGTTTCGGAAATGACAAAAATTGCGATAATAATAATAAAAACAAAAATAAATAAAGATGCAAATCATAATTACATTTGCTCGTTTTTTTGTATCATTTTGGAATTTAAAAAATTTTTTTTTTTCGCCCAAAATAACAATGGATTATGGTGGTTCATCAAGCGAATGAAAAATGAAAAACGTAAACAATGCGCCTGGTATAAACAAAACAACCGAATTGGTCATTTTTTTTTTATTTCATCTCATCAACGACATAATGACAACAACAACAACAACAATAACAACCACAACCGAACGACCAAACAACGGATATTTTTCCGGATTTTGTTTTTCTGTTTTCTTTTTTTTTGCTCCAGAATTTAACTCTAAGAATTTTCAAGACATAATAATTGTATTGCGAAACAACAACAACAACAACAACAACAACGGAAACCGGGATGTAGTTGTTTTTCTTAAGGGTGATCATCATCATCATCATCATTTTTTTTCTATTTTTATCACATTCCTCATCGTTATCATTAATACGATAATTTTGCTACAACCAACGCCACCATCATCACCAAACAGTACCAGTATATATAGATTCCATAATTATTATCTAAAGAAATTGGTCAAGAATAGAAAGAAAGTTCTTGACCATTAAAATTGATTTAAAAAAAAGTGAACGAAGAAGAAAATAACAATGAAACTTCTAGATAGATAATCACCACCACTACTACCCCAACCACCACCACCATCACCGCCGCCACCATCCACTACCAATTGCTTGATTGTGTATATGGACAATCTCATTATTTTTATTATTGTTTTATTTATATGAAATAAATCCCCAAAAAATTCAATGACGACAGAGAGAAAAATTTTACGACATTTTTTTTTTTGTTTTCTTCTTTTTATCTATCTAAATTCTTTTTGTTGATTGTAGCGCAACAACAATTATGGCATTTTTATTTTTCGTACTTTTTCATTAACAGCAAATTTTTTTTCCATCTCTGTTCATCTGATCATTATCATTTTGTTTTGGCCATCATCACCACACATACCATGTCACCAACAAAAATAGATCTGAAGTGTATGGGAAAAGGAAAAAATTCTGTTATTATCAATTACATAATGATAATTAAGATAGAATATAATGATAGCTACTAATACAAACAAACATGGGAATTTCTCTCTCTCTCTCTTTCGATGATAAGTATTTCAAGTATTATTATGATGATGATGTTTGATAATAAAGATCGAAAAAAAAGATATGAAAAAAATTTTATCAAATATGGTGATCCAAAAGCAACATGAAAACACACACTGAATGACCCACTTATGTGTATGAAATAAAATTGTCATTGGAATTTTATATTTGAAAATTCGTGTGTGTGTGTGTGTGTGTGTGTGTGTATCAGATGAATGTATATGATCATTATTTCCAATAAAAACCATCTTTCATTGTTATCATGGAATAATCATTCACTTTTTTTTTGTTTCTCAAATTCTATTCCATAGATTCTGTGTGTGTGTGTGTGTGTATGAAACACGGAATAAAAAATTTTGTGAAAGAATGTAATCATTTGAATCATTCAACAATAATAATAATAGGGTATTTGTGTGTGTGTGTGAGTGAAATCCTTTTTTTTTTTTCTTTACGATATTCTTATTTTTTTTTGTGTGATTTCATCATGATGATGATAATAATGATATTTCGTCGAATTTCTTTTGGTTTTTATTATTCTTCTTCACTTTAATCATTTTGTCTTCATCATCTTCTTCGTGTGTGTGTGTGTGTGTGTGTGTGTGTGTGTCTCGGTCTCAGTCTGGATCTCCATATTCTTTCTTTTAATGAATTCCATTGGGATCAAACAATCGATCCAACGATAGATATAGATGGATGGATGATAGTAATGACAATTGTTAATATCAAAAAAAATCATTTGTATTCATTCATTTGAAATCAAAATTTGAATCTACCTCCATTTTTAATGTATAAGTGGGAAGAAAGATACAAAAAAAATCATCTCAGATTTCATCATCATCATCATCATCAACAGCATCAAAAGGTCAAATACCTTTTTGATCAAAAATATTGATATATATGTTTTTAGATTTGGTTTGGTAGATGATGATGATTCTCTGTTTTTTTTTCATTCATATAAATCAAACGATTACCACATTTGTTGCCTGTTTATTTGCACACTATTTTCGTCGGAATTAAATTCTCTTTCTTCCTATCGATAAACATTTTGGATCATTGAAAGTGGATCGAAAAAGAAAATAAAGTCTGGCTTTCAATAAGACAGATAGAAAAATCAATAGTAGTGTAATTTGTTTGGAATTTCGGAATAAGAAGAAATAGAAAAAAGAAAAACATTGATGACGCTGATGATGATGATATTGATCCGGATTCTGGTCATATTCATAATAGTATCGATTACTTTTATAGTTATTCTTTGATAAATAAATAGATATTCTCTCTCTCTCTCTCTCTCTCTCTCTTTCTTCATCTTCCAATGTCAATGACATCGTTTTTTTTTTTTTTCTGATTGATTTTAGCAAATAAGCCAATAGTAATCATCATCGTCATTTTCTCTCTCTCTTTCTGCAAAGGGGTTTAAAGAAGGTTATTGCCCACATTTGATCAACGATGACAAAATGTTATCAAACGTATCAAATGGACTGTGAAGAATGAAAAAAAAACAAAAATTGCCCATTTTCAAATTAAGAATCACGATGATGATGAAATGAAATGTGAATGTGAATGTACTTTTCATCATCATAGAATGGATGGACAATCAACGTAAATCAATGCTGTCGTTGTTGGTTAATATGTTCCAAATTTATTATTATTATTATTATTATCATCATCATCATTCGTTTATTACAATTCTTTCCATTGGTAAATTGAATGAGAAATTACCCGAGAAAAAAAAATGTCATCACCGGATTTTCGTTGTTGTCGATGTTGTTGTTGTCGTTCCAAAAATGAGTAGGCAAAAAATCAATTATATAACATGGTAACTTTTATTTATTTCACTATATAGTAGAAATAAAAATTATAAGAAATGGCAAGATGCACAAAAATAGCCTTCGGACATTTATTCATTCTTATGAGAATATTCTTATGCGAAAGAGGGAATGAATTTAATTTCTTTGCGTTTTTTTTGTTTTGTTTTGTTTTTGTTGCCAAAAATTACATAAAAACTTTTTTGTGTGCTGTTTTGTTTTGTTGTTGTTGTTTACATCTTTGGGCAAAAATTATTCATGGTAACCAAATATATGAAGTAGAAGAATAGTGAAAAAAAAAATGAAATGAAAAACATCAATTGAAATTTGTTTGTCGTTTTATGAAAAATGTGTTTTTTTTTGACAAATAGAAAAAACAATAACAAAACAATTACCAATGACAATCATCGAAAACAACAACAACAACAACAAAAACGATCATCGAAAATGGTGGCCTTTATTCATATAAAAATGTTTTTTGTTTTTGTTGTTGTTGTTGTTGTGGTTGTTTATTTTGTGAACGTTCATAATGGTAATGATGATGACCAACATTTGAATAACAAAACATATATGGACCCCAACATTGACCACTGTGTTTGTTTGTTTGTTATTTTTATACACAGAAAATTTAAGAAAAAAATTCAATTTTCATTTCATGACATTTTAAAACGCTTAATATGTTCGAAAATTGATTCAGGCTAGATAATCATAATCATCATCATCATGTAAAAAAAACAATCAGCCCTGAAGGAATTCTGTGGATGTGTCAGTGTGTGTGTGTGTATTGTTGTTGTAAGCCACACATTGACAGCTGAAATGAATTTCCATTTTTTGCTGCGAATGAATGACAAAAAAAAAAAAAAAAAACAATGAAAAAACAAAATTCAAATTAACAATGGTTGATAAAAAAAAAAGAAGTTGACAAAGAATCAATTCTTCAAATGGAAAAACAAAACAAAACAAAAACTTCATTAATCAATATATATAACATATGTGCAAGTGAGTGAATGTGTGTGTGTGAGAGTGAGAGATATTGATTTGTGAAAATGAATTCTCATTTTCAATATTATTGTCATCCTTTATGGCAAAAAGAAAAATCAGAAAAAATTTTTTTTTTTTCACACACACACGCGAAAGATTCAATTTCGATTAGATTGTCATTTTATTCCATTGTGCTGTTGTTGTTGTTGCAGTGTTGTTGTTGTTGTTGTTGTTGAAAAAACAAATGACAAAATTAATGTGAAAAAAAAGATGAATATTCATGATCATCATCATCATCATGATAATCATTGTTTTTCTATGCATTTACAAAGTTTTTTTCTCTCTTTGCCGTCGTCGTCATAGTCATGATGATTGTTTTGCAGTAACAAAAATTCAAAACAACAACGAATACACAGAAAAATGAAAGTAAAAATAGCTCCAAACACAAATGTTTGTCGTTTTTGCCAGCTTTTTTTTTGCATTATGCTTCAACAACAACATTCGAATAATTTTAATTGAATTCAATAGAGCAAAAAAACGATTCGACAAACACAAAAAAAAACAGCCAAAGAAAAAAAAACGTATTGTTTTACGTCAATTTCAAGTGTAAAATGAAAAAAAAAATGAAGAGAATCGAATGAGTGAATAAACATTATATATATTTTTTTGTTCTAAATTTTCACACTATTTAACTTTTTTGAAATTCTTTCACACTACAGAATATTCAAGTTTTTTTTTTGCCCAGTTCAAACAATGTACAATTCTTTGATCTGTGAATGAATAATAATAGTGAAAATTTTTTTTTTCTAATTTTTGTCTTGTTGTTGTTTTTTTTCTCCATTTCATATTCAAAAACAGATTTGTGGTGACCGATGGCCAAATTCAGCGATGGCAAATGCACATTTTTTAATAGTCAATCTAGGTCTACAATATTTGATACCATTGAGTATAATTGCATTATTTTATATATTAATATTGAAAAAAATTGCCGAACGTAAATTACCAAAATTGGCTAGACATTTACCATCCAATGTTAAAGATGGTAATCGACAATCATCATTGGTTATTGAACGGTCAAAAGTTAAAGTATTCAAAATGCTTATAGTTCTTGTATTGTTATTTGCATTAAGCTGGTTACCATTATATGTGATATTTTTTATATTAAAAATTGGACCACATTCAGATGATCAATCAATTTTGATGCAAATATTACAGGATTCAGTACCAATAGCACAATGGCTTGGTGCATCGAATAGTTGTGTGAATCCGATATTGTATTTTTTCTTTAATGCAAAATTTCGTTCATATTATCGTAGTACGTGGCTTAAAACATTTAATTGCCTTTCAATTATACGTTATCGTCATCCACGTGCTGGAAGTGGTAGCAGTATTAATAGTGGTGGTGGTGGTGGTGGTGGTTGCGGTGGAAATTGCAGCAATAGTAACAATAATTTTTATCATTATCATCTACAACAACAACAACATAATCAACATTCAAATAATCAAATGATAAATTTAAATGTTAATAAACAATCATTTCAACCAAATATTACAAATGCACAGAATCGTCAACATAAAAATCGATTACAATCACAATTATCAGACAATACTGGTATAGTGGAACAACAGGATGCAAGCTTATCAGGATCATCAACAATTATTATGCGTGATGATAATCATAAACAACAACAACAACAACAACGACAACAATCAACATCATCATCAATATCAACATCAAATAATTCAACAGCAATAGTTGCCACAACTGAAGAAATAGCAGCAGTCACAGCTGTTTAAATCTTGTTGATTATCAAAATGGTAAGTTGATTCATTATGTTTACATGGAAAAAAATAATAAAAAAATTCGTCTTTGATTTCAGAATTGCAAAAACGAAGAATATTCAATAAATGAATGGATCAATCAATCAATGGAACGGTAAATAATGGTCATCATCATTGATGGCTTGTTTTTTTTCCTCACCACTTTTATTTAGTTTCATGAACGAACAAAAAAAAGACCAAAAAACAATCATAATTCAATTGAATGATGATCATCATCATTATAAAATGAAAGTTTTTTTTTGAAAGTTTAATTTTTTTTTCATTTAATCCATCCAAAGAATACACACACACACACACAAACATGACAAATACCGAGAAATGTCGTTTTTTTTCACTGACAACGACGAGTTTTTCCATTGACCACAAAACTAGTAGTAGTTTTTAATTAGAGTTATTCGATTGTTATTTTTTTTACTGTTTATTTCAATTTCGTATTAATTAATGATTTTAATCTTTTCTTTCGTTTTTCTAGTTTCACGAAAAAAAAAAATTTTTTTCATCTGATCCGATTTGATCTGAATTTGGAGAATCATGTACACACCAAAACTACTGGACCAATCATTTTAGAAGAATCATGATGAGAAGAAAAAAAAAGAGATGGACAAAATTTAATTGCCATTTTTCTTTTTGAAGAAACACGATGCTGAATGAAATATTCTGGTCATTTTTTTTCTATTTTCTGCTTTGCCGGTTGATTCCCAATTATCTTTGTTGTTGTTGTTTTTTTGTTCCAAAGAAAAAAAAATAACCAAAAATCCAGATGGATCATACAGAATTTTTAATTGCAAATCTCACTATTTTTTTTTTTTTTTTTTTTTGGTGGAAATTTTTACGCAAGACAACCACATTTATACCACAATAACATTCCCGAAATTCTGGATGATCACTTTTCATTACATTCACCCATTTTTATTCATCTGTCATTGTTGTAGTAGTAGTAGTTGTTGTTGTTGTTATTATTATTGTTGTTGTTGTTATCTTTATAATATTCTAAATAACAATCAAAACAAAACCAAGATGAATATTAACAAAACAAAAAAATTAACTTATGATGAATGTTTTTTTTTTTTAATTCTGATTTGTCAAATAAAGTAATATAAATTAAAAGATTATGTTCAAAATTCAATAAAAAAAATGATGTGTGTGTGGGCGTATGTCATATGGAATGTTTTTTTTTTTTTAAAAAAACAAAAATTCATCAACAACAACAACAACAAAAATATCAAAAAAATTTGTCCGAATTTTTTTGATTTAAAAATTTATAAAATAAATATTTCGTTTCAGCTGGTTTATCCACGGCGGTTGAATGGCCAGCACCACGTATTGTTGCAAATGTTAAATTACTGCCACCATCCGTTGTATAGTGTTTATAAAATCCACCAATCTGTCCATTATATTTCCAATAAGTATGATTTATCATTGGCCGTAGTTTATTATTATCATCAATAGATTCTTTTAATAATAAATCATCGACAAACCATTGTATGCCAAGAAAATTACAAACAACATCCAAATCACCAGCATATAATAAACCATTTATACCGGAATCAATTAAACGTTCGATTTCGGTTCGTACAGATTTTGTTTCATTACGATCATAATCAACTTTATTACAGAATGACCAATGAAATTTCGATGGTACATGTAATGATTTTTTAACCGATTTTTTATTCAACCAATGTGTCAATGCATGTTCATCCATTGCACATGGTAATGATATCATTAATTTATTCAATTTTTCTGATGATTCTTTCCAATTTTTCAATAATAATTCATCATGTATTGATTCCTGTTTACAATCACTATTTATATTATAAAGATTTAAATCAAATGAATTCATATAAATATCAAGTAGATTGATTGCTTGTTGACATAATGGTGATTTATTCGTGATGAAATTACAATTTCGTACAGATGATGATGATGATGATGATGATGATGGTTGTTTTTTATATTACGATGATGATGATCACAACGACAAAATTGTAACAATTTGAGCCAAATTTTTTCATCAATAATTCCATGTGAATAAAGATAAAAATATTGTGAATTTATATTAATATTTTGATCCAATAATGGATTTCCTAATGCAAATCCTTTCAAATTTGGTGGATAATGATCATCAAGTATTAATGTGGCCAACATTGGTATGAATATGCCAGCATAACTTTCACCGGTAATATAAAAATCATTTTGAATGAAATTTGGAAATTTTCGATAAAAACTTTTCAATGCTGCCAGATTCATATGAGCAGTTTCATTATCATTTGTTTGATAATTTTGATCCAATTTATATGAGAAACCAACCTGTGCTGGTGTTTCAATATAAAGCATATTAACATTTGTATTCCATGTATGTGGATTATAATCAACGGTTAGATTGGAATTAATACGAAATGGACCATTTTCGGCCAATGCACCGACTAATGAACTGCAACCAGGACCACCATTTAACCATAATACTAATGGATCATTCAAAGGATTTTGTTGACTTTCAAAAAACCAATAATGTAAATAAACATCATTCAATGCAGATAAGAAACCAGAATAATGATGAAAATTTGGCCGAAAATTCAGACCAATTAAATCATCGACCAAGTCGTTATGATTATGATGATTCATATTGGATATTAAATGTTGAGATTGTTGTATAGATGATGATGATGATGCGGTCATTGTTGATAAAATGGCTGCAATATTCAAAAGGCTCATTTCTATTGTACGATCAAAATTATGGGATTTTTTCAAAGAAAAAACAAAACAAAACAAAAAAACAAAAAACAAAACCAGATCAACACACATGGAAAGTTCAACAAACAAACAAACACAAATAAATAACAGCCAGTTTTTGTGGCCGAGAAAAAATATAGTATTTTTATATATCGAAAGAACAAAAAAAAAAAAAAATTTCGACATTATCGTAATCGTTAATCAGTGTGTGATTATCAGTTTTTTTTTTTTGGTTTGTTTTCCACTTTTCAAAATGATTCAATGACATCTTTGATGATGATGATGATGGTGATGGGAAAAAATTCCAATGCATTCGTTTTCTTTATGTACTGTACTCAAAAATAAATATGTTGGTTGTTTGTTTTGTACGCGAATCAATCCACAATCATTCATCGATTATCGATTGGGGAAAAAAAATGAAGCCAATGTGATTGGCTTCATTTTTTTTTTTCTCTACACTCTGGTTATATTTATATAACGCGTTTTTATATGGTGATCACGCACGATGTGTGTTCACACAATCATCATCATCATAATCAGTTGATTTTATTAAAAAGTTGGTTTTGATTAAAAATTGGTCATATCAAATAACGATTTGTTTGTTTTTTTTGAATGAAAACAAGAAAAAAAAATTCCAAAGCCAGAAAAAAATGTACAATGATGACGGTGGTTGTTGTGGTTATGGTGGTGGTGGTGGTGGGGGAAAAAATAAATCAGGAGAAAAAACCGGAAATTCTGATGATAAATTATCGATTTATTGAAAAAAAAAATTTTCACAATCACAATAAAATTATTTTATTATTAATAAAGTAAAATTTTCTGTAAACGATTCAATTCATCATTTGTTACTTCTAATGGTATGATTTTCGCCATTGTCGATGCTGATGTCGATGATGATTGTACAGTTTTACCACCACCACCACCACCAACAATAATTCGTGCAACCAATTTTGGTTGTGCATTTACAATCTATGTTTATAAAAAAAAAATGAAAAAAACACAAAAAATCAGAAAACAATTTCAATTTGCATCTATTTATTTATTATTATTATTACCTTTGAAATGTGTGGAGCAATAAATGTTGTAAATGTTGAATCACATTGATAACCACCATTTTGATCCAATGTTTTGATAAATTGTTCAAAATCAATTTTCAATTGTTGAAAACGTAATGAAAAATTCAATTCATCCAATTTTTGTTGTTGTCCATGTTTATACATTAAATCGGCAAAACATTTTGTCCATCCAGGTTTATTATTATTATTATCTGGAGAAAATTGATCTAAATTAAATATCTGCATTAAACTTTTCAAACGATATTCAGTCCAATCATTATCTAATTGTAAAAGTTTAGTACGAAATTGTTGAAATTTCATTTCTATCTGATCATCATCATCATAATCAACATCATCATATAATCCGTGTTGTTGTCGTCGTTGTTGTTGTTTTGACGCTTCATTGTATCTAGATACCATTTTGGACGAATTTTAATCAATTCACCATCATTATTTATTTGAATTTTTTCTTCATTCGATAATGTTAACATTGTTCGTAGTTCAATATTTTTCATTGCAATCTGTTTCATAGCTAAACGTAGACTTTGTATATGTTGCTGTAATTGTAAAACATCATTGCTGACCATTGGTGTTTGTACGGTGGTATTAGTGACCGCTACTGATGAACCATCTGGACCATATGTGGCCGTAGTATTCGATAATAATGATTGATTTAAACTTGGTGTTGGACTCAGGCTAATATTTGGTGAATGATGAATAGATGAAAGATTTCCCAGACTCATTGGACTTGTTGTTGATGACATTGTATTATGATTCATGCTTAAAGGTGAATTTGTTGAACTGGATAACATAGAAACTTTACCAAACAATGCATTTTTAGAATAATCTTTCAACTTTTCTTTCATCAATCGATGATCAGAATAAAGATCATTAATTTCTTGATTATATTTATTCAATGTACGTTCACGTTCAGCTTCTTTTTCCTTAAATTCTTTCGTTAAACGTTCCAATTCATCTTGAAGTTTTTGTTGTTCTTTCAATGATTCTTTGTATTTCTTTTCAGAAAGATCACGACGTATTTGTATTTCACTTATTTCATCAATTTTCATTTTCAATGCACGTTTCAATTCAGTAATATCAGATTCTTGTTGTTGAATTTTCATACGAAAATCTGTAATTTGTTCCGATTGTTGTCGCCATAGTAATGCACGTTGATCCAATGGTTGACATTGTAATGAACATGATGATCCACCAGCACCACCACCACGTGTAGTATTACTACTGAATAAACTTTGAAACGATGAAGGAAGTTGTAAACTTGTTGTTGGATTTGATTGTAATGAATCAAATGTTGAATTCTGTGATGGCACTGTAGTAGCTGTCTCATTCTTTGAAATATCATAATCACCTAAAATATGGGAAAAAACAGAGAAAAATTAATAAAAGTGAAAAACTTGATTATGGATCATTACCTTGTTGAATTATCGTACAGAATTTACAAATTGTACTCATAACATTTGTTAGCATTTCATTTAATGATTTAATACTATTACCATTCCATTCTTTACAGGTACGTTCCAAATCATCGATAGTAAAACGTGTTATTTTATTCATTTCATCGGAATCAACATTAGAAGTATCACCATCAACATTATTATTACGAATAAATTGATTAAGAAATTCATTCATTAATACTTGACGTATTTGTTTTAGGCTACGAACAATAAGTGAAAAATTATGAAATGAATCCAATAATTCTGCTTCAACAGTGGATGGAAATCTTATAAAACAGGCTGGATTCGTATCAGCTTGACCAGAACCAATAGATATCATTCTTCTACGAATTTTACGACCAAATTGTTCAATATCATTTAATGATGTTTCCATTGTGGAAAGAAACATTGATGTATCCATATCGGTCATACGTGAAATTATTTTCAAATCCAATATTGATGCTTCGGTACCAGTACGTAGAACATCAATCAAATCATTTAAGAATTTATTATGATTATCAACAGATTCTAGATTCGTGGATGCAATATAAATATTATATAATGAATGTAGATAATTGAGAATTTTTTCCAATGAATCCAATGATACTGTTTCGTCTAATTTATCTTCACGTAATAAATTCAGGAAATAATCAATATTTTTTTCATGTGCTGCCAATTCTGGATATAATGATCCAAGTTTCATAAACAAATCTGAATCACATTTGCCTAGAATATCCTGATATTTATCCAATGTTGAACGAATTGATGTTAATAAATAGACAATGTGTTTGGCAAAAATTTGTTGTTTCAATTTATCACTTGATTCTACTTGTATTCGATCATCATCAAAAAATTCTCGTAGAATCGATTCTGGCGTTACAGCCACATCAGCATCTTGTTGTTGGTTAAATGTTGTCGAATGTTTTTCCAATACTTGTCGTTCGATAATAAAACATTTTGTAAACATACGAGGAATGAACAACAAAACGGCTATTGCATCATGATCACCACCACGAACGAAAAATGATTCGGGAAAAAAACGTGACAAATAAATCATATGACGATAACATTGATCAATGTCTAATTGACGTAATTCCATATCAATAGCTCTCGATACATCTTTACGATCCAATAAGCGTGTTTTGAATTCAATATTGGCCAATTGTTTTTGCACATCGACAGCTTGTTGTACTTTTGTATGATCTTGTTCTTGTGCAGCACGAAGCATACCGTTTTCTTCTTTCAATATTGATACTAATTCACGAAATTTTTTGATTGTATTCTCATGATCTTGAATTGTTTCTTGTGCCATTACAAAACTACTGCGAATATTCATCAAATTTGTTTTGAATTTATCCACTTCATCACGTAAATCAGCAATAATATCATCTTTTTCTTCAATAATCATATTTGATAATTCTTTAATTTTTTCTTCTTCATCCAATGCTTTCTGTAGTTCTTCCAATTTATCTTCCATTATTAGATTTTTTTCAGTCAGCTTTTCGACCATTTCCTGTGATCCTAATGCCATATCAACTTGTTCTTTAAGTATTTCAATTTGTTCATAACATTTGGCCATTTCTAATTTGATTTTATCATTTGTTTGCATTAGATTTTGTATTTCGTCATTTTTACGTTCCAAATCTTTTTGCATCATCTGTATATTGGTACGATCAGCAGCGGATATATCACGCAATTTAAGCAATGCATCTTTATAACGAATATTTTGATCTTCTAATTTTTTCAATTGAAAACTATTTGCAGCACCATCGACACCTTTATCTTCGATTTCGGTTTTAAGTATTTCAAAATCCAATTTTGCTTCCTCCAATTGTTCACGCAGTTGTTCCAATTCTAATTGCAATTGTTCAGATTTATTTTCAGCCATCTCTTTATCAATGACGGCCATTTCAGCATTATCAACGAGATCTTTAATTTCTTCAGCTTGTCGTACTTGTTCTTCGCGTGCTTCACGGGCTTCATTTTCAGATTGCATTTTTGATTTCGATAATTCAGCAATCTTTTCGGCCATTTGTTTTTTATTCTCCAACAGCTGTTCATTCTGTATTTTTAATCGTTCAAATTCTTTGAATTTTTGCCTATCTTCAGCACGTTTCAACATCAATGTATTCAGTTTGGATTCAAGATCTTTGATTTTTTCATTTGCTTCTTGTAATTCTTTTGTTTTATGTGTTGGTGTTGATGATGATTGGGACCAATGTTGTGCAGCATCATCTTCACGAATCATTTCATCACGTTTGGTTTCAATTTTTTCCACCAATTTTTGTATATTAGATTGCGAATGTTGTTGTTGAGATTTTGCACTTATTTCATGACTTGATGTGGACATTAAATTGGTTGGTGGACGTATTTTCGAAATCTGACTGGTTGCCGGTAAATTAATCGATTCGGTTAGTTTGGAATTTTTATCAATAATCAAGGCACCTGTATCACCCCCATCAATAATACCGGCAAATGATTGAATCGATGATGATGGTGTCATTGATTTCGGTGTTGATGATGGTGTCGATGATCGTGATGTACGAGACATTGGTATACGACTACCATGATCAAGAATTGGACGCAATGTTGAAACACGTACGAAAACACCATAATTATCGGAACAATCAAAATATTGTCTACCTTGTATAGTGCCATTATTTTTACCAACCGGTTCATCCAATACGACACCACACCAATCATTTTCATTTGGTTTCAAATGAAAAGCACCGGGACCATAAGCAATAGTGCCAGGAACTTTGCGACGTTCACCATTAATAACGACAGTGTATTCAACTCGAGAACCAATTCGTAATGTTGTGGAAACTTTTCGATTAGACATTTTTCAATTGAAAAAAAAACATGGATAAATTCAATCAAATCATCAAAATTTTTAATGATTTAACTTTTTACAAATAGAAAAAAATCATTTTTTTCGACTGTTGTTGATAAATCACCATCGATGTTGTTTTCATATGTTGCAAGTTTTCATTCAATTCATCATGTACCAAGTTAATACGTTGAAACAGAATTCATATGTTCGATAAATTTTTTTTTTGCCAATTTATGATAATTAAAATTTTTATTGGAAATTTTGCTGAATTTGATATTTCAATTTTTGTTCAATATTTAGAATCATTTAGAACCAATTATTCATTTGTAAGTAATATTTTCTAATTTTGTAATGAAATTTCCAGATAATTTGGATTTAATCAATTTTTTCGATGCGTACGCGATTTGCTATATATATGTGATGATGATGAGTTGCTCGAATTTTTTGTTTCTTTTGTTCATTACACCGTATTTATTTTTGTTTGTTTGTTTATTATCATGCTTGATTCTCGATGTTTCTATATTCGCTATTCGTAAAGACGAAAATTTATTCATTTTACTTTTTACTTTCAATTATAAATAATAGTCGATGTTTTCAAAAATTTTACCAAAAACATTTCCACGTGCAAAGAATCCATTATTGTTGGCTAAACAGAATGAGATTCGTCAATTACAATTGAAACCATTTAAACGTATTCATTTTAAATTTGATCCATTTCATTCTCAAGTTGTTTCAATACGGTAAGTCTGTTTGTTTATTATATGAAATCTGATTCTAAAATTTTTACGAAAATAAAAATCTAGAGAATTTCTACAACATTTGGATCGTCGTCAAGTACACAAAACAAATCCAAAGTGTATGATTCGAACGGAAATTGTTTGCAATCAACAAGAACCAACAATCGTTGCACATCTTGGTATGATATTCAAATGATTGATTTTTGATGAATTCTCATCCATTACTTTGTTTTTTTGGTAGAAAACGGTAAAAAAATCCTCTTCAAAACGGCCAATTTAACAACCATAGAATTATTGGAATATTTTAATCAATATACAAAGAAATTTATCATCGATCAATGATTTATTGATTGATTAAATACAAATTTTTGTGCCTGTTGCAATAAATTCAAACAAACACCAAGCTAAATCGAACCAGCACCACCACCACCACCACCATCAACAATCATGCAGGATAGACATTATAGCGTATTAATCGAAATGTATGACATGGTTTATAACATTTTTCCCGAATTTGATCAATTATTTGATGAAGAAACATTCTATTTGGCTGCGTGTGGTATAACCATCATTTCGGTAGCAATTTGTTTTATACTTTCACGTTTTATACATTTACGTGAAGCAAATATTTGAATATATATCAATGATGATAATGATGATGATGTAGATATATACTAAATTTGAAATTATTAAAATTAATATTTAAAAAATGAATAGACAAGTACAAGATTTTTTTTTTTTGCTTTTATCTTTGTTTTCAGGTAAGATCGGAATTGAAACACAATAAATTTAGGATTACAACACAATTACAAACGACAACCGATACAAAATGTGTACATTAGGACAATTTGATCCATTAAGCAATCAAAATTATACATCACTTTTCATAAAAAAAAATTAAGCCAAGTCGCCTGCCAAGAGCTATTTCAAACCTATAAATAAAGGGAAATAGAATCCAATGTGTGTCGACAATGATTGGTTATTCACAATTGGCGGCCATAATTTTTGTCTTGACAATTTTTAGTGGAAAATAATCGATTGCGCCGAGGAGGAGGAAAGTGTCCATCAAAACTCGGCCAAAGGATAAACGTCCAAGGATCCAATGTATCCGGAAAAAATCGTGAATTGTGGAACCACACAAATGTTTCGTAATACCGATGTTGATTACTTCGTGAGTTTCCAAAAACAAACGAAGGGTACGGGAATCTCCATCACTACAGTGTGGATCTTCGACGATCCTTTTTTATGGTCATGAAAACAACCAAAAAATTGGACCTCCAACAATCCTTTTTCATGGTTATGAAAATAACCAAAAAATTGGATTACACAAGTTATTGAATGGCGTTTCGACCACCAAACAAAACAAGTTAAATGCGTACAAATTTTCTAAACATTTTACACAGCTATTTATAGTCAGGCTAAGAGCCACAAAACAATTGGTAATTCGAATCGAATGCGCATGAAACAAAATGGCGAATTTTCCAATTTCAGATTTATACAGTATATCCACCGCCATGTAATCCACACCCAAACAAACAAACAAATGCAAAAAAAAAATTGAAATCAAAGATTTTCGATCAAATTTTTATCTTATCATCATTGATTAATCAATTAAAGAAATCAATGATAATTGTAGAAATGATTAATTTGGTTAAATTTAAATCAAATGATGATGATCATAATCATCCACTTGAAAGTATGCACATGACTGACTGTATAAAAATCTTGTGATTTTGTGCTTTCACTCCCTCCTCTCTCCTGTGTGTGTGTGTGTGTGTGGTGTTGAAAAAAAAAAAAAAAAAATCACGTAGTCCACAAAAAAATGGAAAATTCTCGAAAAGTTGAAAATTTTCCACACACACACACACACACGCTATGACCTTGGAATTTGACCAAACAAAAAACAAAAACAAGGGACAAACGATTTTTTTACGTTTTTATCTTTGTTATATTTATTTTATTTGAACAATTAACCGGATTCATTGGAAAAATTTTGCCGGATAAAATAAAAAAATGTTTACAAACAATAAACAATTATACAATAATCATCATTACACATTAATAAAGTATAAAAAAATTTAGTGTGAGGACAGAAAAATATTCAGAAAAAAAAGAACAAAATTGGCAAATTCAATCAAAAAAATGAAAAATTCAATTGATGAACAATGGGGGGCCAACAAGAAAATTTTTTAGGAAAAATTCTTCATAGATCCATAGTGATGATGATGAAATGTAAATTGTTTTTTTTATCTATTCGGGAAAAAAAAGTAAACAAATTAAAGCAAAACAAAAATCCAGTAACCGGTAATGTTCGAGTTTTTCATTTTTTTTTTTTTTTGAATCTTTGTAGGGTTTAACTTTTAGGTTTTCCTTTTATTATTTTGCAAAAGTCTCTTTTATAAATATTTAGAATCCTATGAATTTTGATCAATAGATGTATCTTCTCTGGTTATAGCCAAAAAAAAACAGGAACGTTTCTTGCACCAAATTTCAGGAATCAGGAAAACGATAATCCATTTATGGGAGTTTTTTTCTATTTTTGAGAAAGAAAATTTTTCTTCATATATTGATTTACACATGAATCAATTCATTGCTGAAAACACACACACAGAGAGAGAGGTTACAAATTTTGGCTGGTTTAAAGTTGAAATTCAACATTTTTTTTCACTGTTTTTGTTTCAATTCAACACAAATGACCGCCGGAAACAAAAAAAAAAAAAGTTTAATCAACGACGGGACACGCAACTAAATGCAGTGTAAAATTGGTTACGTTTTGCTCACCATTTTATACGCCAAACCAAAAAAAAAAAATTGAGATCCCTGTGAGGATGACGCCCGATTCATTGTTGTTGTAGTGGCTGTGTCTCATTCGATAGATACACATCATAATAATCACATGTGGTAGTGGTTAAGATTTATTAACGTTGATGTTTTTTTTCCCAGTAACTATGAGCAATTGGGTTAGCGTTGGGTATTTTCACTTGCATTTCGTCATTGCTAGCGTTCATATCGTATTCAACTTTTTTTTCAAAAAAAAAAAAAACCTAATCATGTCTGGCCGCGGTAAAGGTGGTAAAGGTCTTGGAAAAGGTGGCGCAAAACGTCATCGTAAAGTTCTTCGTGATAATATTCAAGGTATTACGAAACCAGCTATTCGTCGTTTAGCTCGTCGTGGTGGTGTCAAACGTATTTCTGGTCTAATTTATGAAGAAACCCGAGGTGTACTCAAAGTATTCCTTGAAAATGTTATTCGTGATGCTGTCACCTATACTGAACATGCTAAACGTAAAACTGTCACTGCTATGGATGTTGTATATGCATTGAAACGTCAAGGACGTACATTGTATGGTTTTGGTGGTTAATAATAAACTTATTGTCAATGGAATCAAATATCATCTGGCTCATTCATTCACTCGGTCTATTCATTCATTCATATCATGATAAAAAACGGTCCTTTTTAGGGCCCTGGATTTTTTTTTGCTTTGATAAAAATAAAAATTTTAATTTTTCATCAAAAAAATTTTTTCGTTTGGATTCTTATTGACATTTCGGTAAAATTTCTCAAAATAAAACAATCCAACCAGAGACATGGTTGGGTGGAAATAGAGTCACGTGTTTATTTTATGAAAACAAAAATTTTTGGATTTTATTTACAAGCAAACAAAAAAATTGCTAAAATTCAATCAAAATGAAATTGTGGCCCGAAAAAGGACCGTTTTTCGTATAAATGATAATGGAATGTAGAATGAAAATTTCAGGCAGTTTTTTCCGTTTTTTTTGGCAACAAAACTGCTTGAATATTTGGTAGTACACCACCTTGTGCGATGGTAACACCGCTCAATAGTTTATTCAATTCTTCATCATTACGAATGGCCAATTGAAGATGACGTGGAATAATACGAGTTTTTTTATTATCACGTGCAGCATTACCGGCCAATTCAAGAACTTCAGCAGCCAAATATTCAAGAACGGCAGCCAAATATACAGGAGCTCCGGCACCAACACGTTCAGCATAATTGCCTTTTCGTAACAATCGATGAATACGACCAACAGGAAATTGTAGACCAGCACGTGATGAACGAGATTTGGCTTTAGTTTTGACTTTACCACCTTTACCACGTCCAGACATTTTTCGTTGTTGTTGTTGTTGTTCGGTATTTTTTTTCAAAATTGAAAAACAAAAAAAAATCGAGAAAATTTGGTTTTATAAAATTTTCACATGACCATTTTTGAGTTTATATACTCAATGTGACAGTCAAAAAACTGGTATACACAACACGAACCAATCAAATCACGTATATCTGTAAAAAAGGCGGATCTAAAAAATTTGGTTGGTTCATGTTGTGTACACCACTTCGAATAGTATAAAAATCTTGGTGTTGCTCATTTCTTCGGCTGTCATTTTGTTTTTGTCGTTCGGTAGTCATTATTGACCTGACATATTTTCAACAACCACCACCACCACCAAAAACAATCAACACTACAACTCTGAAAAAAACCATGGCACCACCAAGCAGCACCGGTAAAGCAGTGAAAAAATCTGGTAAAGCTCAAAAATCTGTTCGTGCTACTGATAAAAAAAAGAAACATCGTCGCAGGAAAGAATCATTTTCCATTTACATTTATAAAGTATTGAAACAAGTTCATCCTGATACTGGTATATCATCGAAAGCAATGTCAATCATGAATTCATTTGTCAATGATATTTTTGAACGTATTGCTGCCGAATCATCACGTCTATCGCATTACAATAAACGAACTACTATTACATCGAGAGAAGTACAAACGGCTGTCCGTCTTTTATTGCCAGGTGAATTGGCCAAACATGCCGTATCCGAAGGCACAAAAGCCGTAACTAAATATACATCGAGCAAATAGATTTTTTTTGTTCTCTTCTTCATTCGTTTGATTTCTGATTCTTTTTTGCCGCTTTATCATTCATTTCATTCATTCATTATCATAACACATTTCCATTTTTTCATTTCAAACATAAAATTTACTGTATCGAATAAAAATTTCTTTTGTGTAAATCTAATAAATTTCATTTTTTGCAACATGAAAAAAATTTTCATTTTTTTGGCGGTAAATAAAATGAGCAAAAAAAAAATTGGTAAACAATGAGTTTATCATTTTCTTACACCGGCATCTCCGATAGATGGCGCGTTGATCGTGAAATTTTTTTTTGTTGAATTTCCAATACACTAGATGTCGCACAATATATCGGGTGTTTACAATTTATAAAATGACAACAAAAAAAAATTCACAATTTCGTGTGTGCTGCTGCTGCTGCTGGTAACACGTGAAATTGTAATTTTGTTTCTTTGTTTTTTTGTGTGCATGTGTGTGTACGTTATCCAAATGAAATCAAATGTGGAATCCTGGATTTTTCATTTCACAAACACACACACACAAACACGGTTGCTATGTGAAAAAAATATGCCAAAAATGAGTGAAAGAATCAAGTTGGTTCCAAGTTCAGAATATCAGTGTGTGTACGTGTGTGTGATAAGCTCTTCTGTAACCAATCAATGAAGACTTATCGATTTGTGAAAAGAAAATGGAAATTTTTTTTTCTATGTTATTTTTTGTTTTGTTCGAGAAACCTGAATCCAAAGTCAGTCATCGGTTTTTTTTTCACGATGAGAGAATAAAAAAAGTTTTTGTTTTGTTTTGTTTTGTTTTTTCCACATTGTGTGTGTGTGTGTGTGTGTGTGTAAACTTTACAGAAACAGAAATTTTTTCATTTTTTTCCCAGACATTTATTGTTTCAATTTCTAAAATTGGCTTTTCTTGTGAAAAAAAAAAAAAAAAATAGAAAACAAAAACAAAAACAAAATTCGAAACATGAGACACCGTTCACAAAGTACGTATTCTTATTAAATGTTTGGTGAGAAAAATTGAAATTTTTTTTTATTTTTTACATAATACTAAACAAAAAAAAGTTGAATATAAACAACACATCAAGATATTGAAAATTGAGAAAAACTTTTACTTTTACTTTTTTTTTCATTCATTCATTCATTTATTATAATTTTTGGACATAGCAAAAAAAAAAAGTTGCTGACGATGCTACTGTGTGTGTGTTTGTTACAATGAAAGAAAGAATGTGATTCTTATAAGATCATTAATCTTGGACAGTAGCAACAACGACAACAGGGGCAACAACAACAAAAAAAAATGGATATGGGAAAAAAAGAACAGCAATCGTTTCTGTCTTCGGTCATGTTCTGTTGATTCATAAATCATCATCATCATCATCATGATGTTTAATATCCATATTGATCCATTAATGTAGTCGTCGTTGTTGTTGTTGTTGTTTGTTGTTGTTTGTCAATTTTTATCAGCATTTTGAAATTAGTAACTAAATAGATTGTATTACAAGTAAAGACAGAAAAAAAAGAGAGAGAGAGCCAGAAAGAAACTTTTTATTCCGGTCAAATCAACTATTTAGTTAATAATAATTATCAAAGAAGAAAAAAAAATGGAAAATTCTGATGATGATGATGAAATGATTTTTCATCATCATCATCATCATCATCATCGTTATTCTTCTTGGTTCATTCATGGACATTTAACTTGTTTTTTTGGCGTCTGAAAACCATTACAAGAATTTAAACAAAGAAACTGTTTTGCTGTTTTTTTGTTGTATTCTTTGAACAAAAAAAATCGTTCAACTTTCAACAACAACAACGGCCATCTGTAGAAGAATCGACGAGAATCCTTTTTTCTGAGTGTGTGTTCACATCATCATCATTATTTTTTACTTTAAATTTTTTTTTGTGCACTTTATACCATATCATGACACACACAGAAGAATCGACGTTCCATAATGAGTATGGCAAGTGAAGAAAAAAAAAATGCGACAAAGTAAGTGAAACGAACAAACCAAAAACAAATACATCTGTTTGATTGGTAAAAAACCGTGTTTTTGTGCAAAAGTGAAAAAAAACTCACCAGAAAATAAAAGCAAAAAAAGAAATGATGAAAAAAATGATTTGTAAAGGTTGAACCAGAAAAAATAATACCGAAATGTCATTAGTTTTAGTTTTTGTTCCAACTGAAACTACACCATTCAAAGACTATATATAATTTCCTGACCTAAATTGGTAAATTGTGATTGAATATAATTACAATTAGTGCCAAAATGTACCTGACAAATTCATTTGCATAAATTCCAAATTGGGTGTGTGTGTGTGTGTTGTGTATTTATGGGACTAGAGAAAAAAAAGCCACAATTATCATTCAATTATCAATTCCGATTCATTGTTTTTTTGTTGTTGTTGTTGAAATGGAAAAATTTACCGCCCACCACTTTTTCTCGTTTTTATATGGCAATGAGAAAAAAACCATACCATTTTTGAAATCTAATTTAGAATCAAAATTGAAAGTGAAAAACTTTGTTTCACTTTTGATTCAATTTCGAAAAAAAGTGAAGGAAAATCGAGCTATTTTTTTTTATTTAGCCAGAATTTTGCTTCAAGCCAAATAGAATGTTTCTGAGTTTGAGTTTTCTTGTATATTCACCAAATTCATCAATCACTGTTGTGTGACCTGAAATCTGATAGCAATTTTTAGGGCATAAATGACAACTTAATGATAAACAAAAAAATCGATAAAATTGCTCACAGCCATATATGGTTGATTAGGAGAGGATTTTTCACTGTTGTTTTTTTCCTCGCTTTTGCTTTTGCTTTTTCAACAACTTTAAAACATTAAATTGAAATAGATTGCAGTAATAATTAACATTTTGATTCATTTTTCACAACTCGGATATAGTCATTAATTAATTGAATGAAGTTGATAGAGAAAAAGAAAGAGAGACCAGTTGTCCAGCTATTTTTTTCCAAGAAAAACAACCATCTCTCTAAAAGATCTGAACAAGAATGGACAACCAAAAATTAATCAATAATCTGTAATCAGGAGAACCAAGAATATGGCCAATGGAAGCGAAAATTTTTTTTTCTCTTTCTCAAAATTCCAAATGAATCAACAAACAAACGGCAACAACAACAACAACGACGAGAAAAAAAATTCTGAAATTTTCATCATCAATTTACTGATTGTTAGTATTGTAAAAAAAAAAAAATTTTTTTTTTCTTTTCAAAAATCTTGTTATAATTTTCGTTGTCCACAGTACAGAATATCCAGTAGAATAATATTGGACGACCAAAAATATGCCTGTCTGTCTTTTTTTTCTTTGCTTTGGATTTTCCAGTTTTTTGTTCACTTGAATTTTTTTTCTTTTTTTAGTCCTCATCATCGTTTCTGGTTGTCATGTGGTTGTATTTCATTGTGCAAAAAAAATCATGAATGAGAAATTGACTCAGATGATGCCGTTTTTGTTGTTGTTGTTTGGCTAATGATTTGTTCATAGAGAAAAATTCTTCAGCTCAGATGATAAAAAATGGACGCTTTTTTTGTTATTTGTGAAAATTCTGTTTGCCTGCAAGAAAAAAAAATCGTCGATTCCAGAATTTTTAATCTTAAATTCATCAATCAATCAATGTGGAAATGATGAATTAAATTATTCGATTTTTTTATATAGCAATCGATGACAATGAATTACGTTTTTTTTTTTTTTTTTGGTTGCTGATCAATCATCGATTCAATTATGCGCGTATATTGAATTTTCTATTCAACAATCACTTTTTTTGGCTCTATTTTATAGGATAAGATAATCGAATTTTGGAATTTTTTTTTCTCTTTTGTTTTCTCTACTGATATTGATCTAGGTAAATTGATAATCGACATGATGATGTTGACAGCGATGATAATGATGACGACGACAATCAACGCCAGCAGCAGTAGTGATAAAAAGTGTGTCTTAACATTTGTCTTTCAATTTTTTTTTTTGTTTTATCAAATAATTGAATCTAGAATCAAGAATAGAATTTACCCAGAATCACATATTTTGTTTGCTAAATTTTTAATTTTTTTTTTTTTGGTTCCATGATTAAAAATTCCTAATATTTAATTCTTTTTGAATAATTTATGAAATTCTCGATAAAATTATCAGCGGGTAATGATTCTGTGTGTGTGTGTGAGTGTGTGGAAAAATTTTCTTTATTTCTCGCTCCATTTCATTTCATTTTCAATTCAGATTTAATGTACCGTTTCATTTTTGGATAATTTCGTTTTTTTTTCTTTTGTTCGTTGTTTGTCGTCTTTTTTTTCTAGTCTTCATCTTCATGTAAATAATCGATGATCTTATGATGACTTTGTAAGATCTTTTGGCATTGTCTGTAAAATGCATCTAATGTAATGAGATGACAACAAAATTTAAATGAACCATAAATGAAACCATCATTCATTGTCGTTGTCGTCATTGTCTTAATTTGAGAATGCAAATTTGTTCATGACTTGGAAAAAACACACACACACACACACTCACTCACTAAATATCATCTTTGAATGTTTCTATGGACGAATTTTTTTTTATTCAGCCATTTCTGTAGCAGTAAATTCTATTTTCATTCCATTTTCAAATTTGCCCGATGACGGTTTTAGATTTTTCACACATGAATTATATTCATAACCAATCATGGTTTGTAAAAAAAATCCAGAAAAAAATGACAATCATGACAATAGCGACAAAAAAAAGTTATCGAAAAAACCAAAATGAATCCCTGTGGCAATAACAACAACAACAACAACAACAACCAAGCAATTTTTATTGAAACAAAACAAAACATCTCGGACCAGAAGAATTTAGATATTCTTTTTGTTTCTTTTTTTGGATACAGAAAGATTTTCATCTTTTTCTTTAATCAAAAAAATGGACATTATTACGTTTTTGTTTTCTTGCTGGCCATTTGTATATCATCATGTCAATTTCCTAAATAAAGAGAAATCGGAGATAAAAGATCCAGAAAAAAATGTTGTTGTTGTTGTTGTTTTTTTTACATATTACTGATGTATTATTACAAATGGATCGT